ATGATTTATCAACACTCTGTAGAGTTTCTCAGAGATTCTTGGACCATCATGAGCTTTATCTGACCAAGTATATGCCCAATGTGGTGAAGATCAAAAACACTAGAATCCATAAAGAAAGATTGAAGTTCAGTAAGGTTGCTTCTAGTAATTTATCTACCTCTCAACCTCTCATCCACGTGTGCAAAGCAATTAAACCCACCCATGAGAACTTACAAAGACTGAATTTGTGATGCTAATCTTCTGAGATCCCTCCACATCTGAGTTCTCAAACCCTGTGAATTAAATGCATAACGAAAGTGACAAAATACACCTAATATCCCTGCTGACAATCAACTAAGCTATGAATTAGCTGGTTTGTAATCAATAAACATTGGAGATGAATTTGAGTATTATCCCACGCCACAAAGATCCTGCCAGTGCGCATCTTAAGCAAAGCTATGGAGACAGTTCCATCTATGAACAATATTATTGATAACATTTTGAGATTTTCTTGCATCCAACTTAGTTTCAAACAGAGCAAACATGGCCAAATTATTCTTACTAATAAAGTTCCTGACCTCCTTTTGTTTAGAGGGATCATTTAGACCCCTAATATTCCAACACCCAATAGGATTCATCCTGGATTTTAAGGGCGAGTGCATCTTTTTTTTCACTTTGAACAATTGTACTAAAGGACTTGCTAGAGCTGCCTCTAGGCCTACCAGGCCTCCTCTTCACTTGAGCACCAGATTTAGGTTGACTAGCCTGGAGAGTTGAAAGGAAGCTTTTGATATTAAAATATGATTTTTATATAAAAAGACTTATAAATATGTCTGAGCTTTATTCTATTATACATTTTTATTAGCACATATATTTTAAGAAATTAAAACCTGTGGAAAAGCAACTTATCCTTCTATTTGAGAACAAATTAAATTAAGAATTCTCTATTAGCCTGCAAGTTAAAATATGTAGTAGATTATAATTTTATAGAAATAATTATGTATAGCATGAAATCTCAAGAACGAAAGAAAATATGTTGTTACTCGACAATTTTTTTTTTTGTAAAACGTAGTGTAAAACTTGTATAAATGTTGGAAATATGTAATGTGCATCAAGATGAGAAACTTAATAAGACAAGCGATAGGTAATTGCTTTCATATTTGATTGTACACTTAAAACTCCCTGGCCATACAATCCCATTGTCTAAAGTTCTTGTAACTTTATGAAAATAGAAGAATGTATTTAATAGATTAAGATATAGAAGTAATAGAATAAGTTGCAGTCACTACAACATTATTAGGAGTGGAAATGAACCAAATAATTAATAAATTGTTTTCTTATTATTCGTCTAGATATTTGATCATATTCGATTCAGTAGTTCATCTACTATATTCTTATCTTAAACAGAAGCCTAATAACTATTCCAATGAACAATAGATCATATGTGGACCAATGGGTCTCTAATCAAGTTTTTCCACCTCAACATAATTTTGTTTTTCTTTTTAGAAACCACCCAAATAAAACAATCCTCTTATCCCCTAAAACAACCGTTTTCCTTATCCCATATAAAATAACCGCCTGATTCTGGAGAAAAAAATGAAATATCTTCTCAAGTTTTTTCACAAGAGAGAACTATTAGATAAATCTTCAAATTCAATCTTGATTCTTCAGTTATTTTACTTCATTTATTTTTTTTGACAAATCTTTAATTCATTTTTCTAATGGGATTGATCTTCTAAATTGGGTAAATCTTCAAACTCAATTTTGTTTCTTCAATATTTATTATTTCTTTCTCTTTTTTGACATATCTTTTATTCATTCACCTAATAGGATTGATCTTCTGAATTTGGTAAATCTTCACAGTCAATCTTGCTTCTTCTATTTTCTCTCTCTTTTTTGACAGATCTTTTATTCATTCTAGTTTCTGGATTGCTATTCAAATCTTTGTATTTTTTTATTTCTTTCTCTTGTTTGACATATCTTTTATTCATTTATCTAATGGGATTGATCTTCTGAATTATGTAAATCTTCAAACTTACTCTTGCTTCATCTATTTTTTTATTTTATACTTAAAACATGTTTTCTGTTCATTTTGTTTCAGAATTATTATTTAAATCTTTGTAACTATTATCAAATTTTTTAATAGAATTTTAATTTCGGACCTATGTAAGTTGACTTCCCAAATAATTGTAATTGTGGTGAACTTTGTCACAATTAATTCACAAATTTAATTCATTGCCATAATTAATTCATATTTGGAATTGCAGTGTACTTTGTAGTTGGAAATAGTTATCGCAGCATCCTACGAGAAAACTATGTAATTATAATTATTTGTGTTATGCTTACAATTATTTAGGGAGTCTTTGAAACATACATTTAAAGAAATAATAATCTATTAGTAATCCTATTTCAATATTAAACTGCATCTGAATATAAAACATCCATTCTTGATAGAAAAAACATCTTATAAACCACAAAAACAATAAGTAAGATGTCTTTAGAAAAGGGGAGGTTAACTTTGTTTGATTAGATTAGTATTGGTTTTGATACCGATTGGTTCAGATAGTCTAATGATTTTTATTTTCTATATTAATTACTTTGCAAGTTAGACTGCATTCTTATTGGTTTAATAAACACCGATGTTAAAATCATGTACCAAATCATTTTTAACATTAATTTAAAAAGTATTTCAAATTTTTTTACTTATTAGTATTTTCTTCCTTTAAATGCTCATAATGTATATTTATTGACTTTATCATGAATACTTGATAAATTGAATGCCATATAGATATAAAAAGCCCATGTTTACCGTATTAAACCTGCTAATAAATCCACCAATATAGCCCATTATAAAATTTCATTGCAAGCCCAAATCAAGCCTGACGCTTTAGTATAAATAGATGCCTTTGCCTCAGCCTGTGACGGTTTTAACCGTTGCACTATCTTGGCACCAAGAAGAAAAGGGAATGGTTTTGGACTGCACTCCTCGAATTGTCCCCATAGACCTATAATGTGTAGGGGTGGAAGCAAACCGAATCTGATCGAAGATCTATACATTCGAATTCGGTTTGCTCAATCATATTCGTGTTGAATGGGTAGAAGAGCATTTAAATTCAATTCGGGTAACATAAAGTCATTTGGTAAATATTCAAGAATATTTGTGAGCACGTGGTTGAGGCACTTTCCTCTTTAATCAAAGGTTAAGGGTCTGATCCCTTTGTTAGGTATTATTTTATTTTAATTTTTTTCAACATTATGCATAATTAGTTAATGATTATTATGGTATGTCACTAGTAAAATTATTTGACTGTATATCTAAAAGTTATTAAGTTGTATATGTATAAATGGTAATATTTATTATATCATATAACATAAGAAGTTGGTATAATGTAATAATATTTTTGAAAAAAAAACCTCTGATTATAAATTTCACATCTACATGAATTCATTTTTCTAGAAAACTTGTTTTAGCAACTTATGGGTATAATCTAACTTAAAATTAGATTAAGAATTTATTTCTAATAGATATTTCACAATTATATATGTCGATGTGATTAATATCTCAAGTGCAACTTTACGGGATATTAAAATCCAAATCCTAGTCCTAAACCAATAGCACATTAAATTCATATCCAAATTCTCGTACACCTTAAATTCGAATCCAAATTCCAAATTCCAAATCATAAAGCTAAACCAATAACACCTTAAATTTTAATCCAAACCCTAGTCCGAAATGAATAACACCCTAAATTGATATCCAAGACAAAATCCAAGTCTGAATCAACAATCCTCAAAAAATAACCCCCTAAGGAAAAAGATGAACAGAAGGAAAAAGAAGCCGCTATAAGTGTGCAATGGAAATCTTGAAACTTGAACGGTTTATATGAAAGTAACCTATTTTCTAATTCGCTATAGGAAAAAGAGTAACAAAATGGATACTGGGTTGGTATCGCGCACATCATCGTCTTCAGAGGCCTTTTCAGTTTTCTTCTAGGGCACGATAGAGCGAAAACTCTAACCCTAATTTTTACCGTAATTGAGATCTGGTAAGCCTATACGAACACCTCTCGTGTTTTTTCTTCCCATATTCTTTCCTATACCCTGTTTGCACTCTATAACAATACTTCTCAATGTTGATTCATGATTTAAAAATTTATAAATTATCACTTATTTGCTTACTGTTTTGATATTGAGGGTTCTTGTTACCGATTGACTCCTCAGTTTGTTTTTTATCCCAAAAAAATTGCTTCTTTCTGCTTTTAAGCAGGTGATCTTTTCCCTGCTTTGTTGGTTTTAGTGGTTTATATTAGATCTCTCTGAAAATATGATATTATCTATGCTTTTGTAAAACTAGGTCTAGATCTGTTTTATTCCTAGTTCTAGTTAGGTTTCGTCTAACAATTGTAGAATTAATCTATTTTGAGACATTTGGTTCTATAGCTTGCTTGTTTCCGGTAGGGTTTTCATCGAGCCTTTATTGCTGTTGTTATGAGATGTTTTGGTGAAATTTTTTTCTCTGCATTTTAATATATCTGGTCCCCCCCCCCCCCCCCCCCCCCCATTTGATGGTTTCAGGTCGATTTTAATCTGAAGGTGCATCAAAAACTCCTTGTTTTTATATTTTTAGAAGTCTATCAGTATTCGTGTTATTTTGTACAATGGAGGTTTCTGAATCTAGTTGGAGTCGGAGTAATAAGAGGGATGTTGAGGATGGAACAGAGGCTAGAGAAAGTAGTAGGATTGAAGATGATGAAGGTTGGGATGGTTCAGATAAGAGGAAGCACCGTTCGAGTAAGTCCCATAAACACAATAGTAGTCAAGAAGAAGTTGAAGAACAAGATAGTGGAAGAAGAAAGAGCTCTGGGGATCGGGGAGGAATCAGAAAGAAGTCAGGTAGCTCAAGCCGTGTTGGCAGCGGAGATGAAGATGACTATGATTCAAGGAGGGAGTCGTGGTCCAAGATTCCAAGGAGGAGCCTTGATGAGAAAGGTGAGAGGAGAGCAAGCGAAGGTTATCGTGAGAGAGACTTAGATAGCAGTCGGAGGAATAGAGATGAAGAGCCTGAGTTGAACTCTTTGAGGAAATCGATCATAAAGCCTTCCGTTGGTCAAGAAACATCTCAGGGAAAATCTCAGGGAAAATCAGGAAGTAAAGTGGAGAGTTCTCATGAGAGGGATGTTGAGAAGGGACGCGATCTTGAAACAAAGTATCCTGATGGCAAGGAGAGTGGTAGAGAGAAGGATTATGGATGGCATGAACAGGAAAGGAATCCAGCAAGGAGAAGGGTGGATGAGGTAGGAACTGGCAGGAGAGCCGAGGAAATTAACTATGGCGATAGAAAAGCTTCTGATCATTATAAGCACGGGAATAATAGAGAAAGAGCAATTGATCCTAGAAATGAATCTGCTGAAGAGAGAAGTAGGGCTGTGGATTCAAGCAGAGAGAAAAGTGGTCGGAGGGAAGATAAAAGAGGCAATGATGAGAGGAGTCGTGGCCGCTCAGATGCCCAAGCTGAAGACCTGAGGACAGGTACCACACTAGAGGAAGCTAGAGATGATAAACAAAGAAAGGCCAGAGGGAGATCAGAGGATTTAGAGCCCACTGCCCATCGGTACAGTTCCAAGGCCCATGGGGAGAAAACTGAGAAGCATCGACGGGATGAGATAGATAGCAGGGGCGGGAGGGAAATCACGCATGCCAAGAGGTCCAGATCACCAGAAAGAAGTGGGAGGTACCACAGAGAGTCGGATGTTCATGAAAGGGGCCTTTCAGAGTCTGATACTGAGAGAAATATTGGTAGCAAAGGTAAAGAAAGGGACAAGGAGAACTACAGAGATGATAGACCACCAAAAGGAAAAGACAGCTGGGAAGGTTCAAAAGAGCATTGGAGGAGAAGTCACTCCCGGAAAGATGCTGGAGATGGAGATAACTATGAGTTCGATCATGCCAAGGAATGGCATGACAAAGATAGGATGGTAGCTGATAAGCTTTATGGTCGGTCTGCTTATAGAAAAGATAATAGAGTTCGTACTGAAGGCTTGAAGGCATCATCAAACTCTGGAACTAAACATGATAATTCTGACTCCATAGAGATCAAGCCGAACCTAAACTTTGATTTTGGCAGAGAGAAGTCAGTCTCCACACTGCCTGAAGAAGAATGGGGATATTCCCAGGATGACAGTTTAACTATGGATCATGGATCTGGGAGGGCTCCTCTTGATTCGCCAGCTGGAAGAGGAAGGGGTCAGAAGGGGTCAGGACAGAGTATGAGTGGGGGTGTGCATCCTCCAGCTAATAACCACGGATCAGGTTCTTTCGGCAGGGTTCATCAACAAGGGCAAAAGGGAGGCAGACCCTCAAGAGGAAGAGGGAGACCACCTAGTAGAGACTCTCAGCGAGCTGGACTTCCGCTACCAATGATGCCTCCACCATTTAGTCATCTCAACTTACCGCCTGGACCAATGCAACCCGGTGGGCCCAATTTGGCCCATTCCCCAGGGCCATCAATTCCTCCCAATGTGTTCATCCCGTCGTTTACTGGACCTCTTGTTTGGCCAGGTCCTAGAGGTGTTGACATGAGCATGCTCGCTGTTCCTCCCAATCTGCCCCCAATGCCTCCTACTGGGCCTGGCGGTCCAAGATTTGGGCCCAACGTTGGGAATGGTCCTAACCATCCCTTGTTCTTCAATCAACAAGGGCCTGGAAGAGGAGCTCCCCCTAACCTACCAGGTCCTCTGTTCAATCCGGTTGGGCCAATTGGTCGTGATACAGCTAATGACAAACCTCCCACTGGTTGGGGTCAGACGAGGAGCAGTGGGCCATCTGGTAAAGCTCCTTCAAGAGGAGAACAAAATGACTACTCGCAGAATTTTGTGGACACAGGTATGAGACCTCAAAACTTCATTAGGGAGCTGGAGCTCACCAGTGTTGTGGAGGACTATCCAAAGCTGAGGGAACTTATTCAGAGGAAAGATGAGATTGTTGCTAAAGCAGCTTCTCCACCCATGTACTATAAGTGTGACTTAAAGGACCATGTTCTATCTCCTGACTTCTTCGGCACCAAGTTTGATGTAATTCTCGTGGATCCTCCTTGGGAGGAATATGTTCACCGAGCTCCTGGTGTTACTGATCATCTAGAATACTGGACGTTTGAAGAGATACAGAATCTTAAGATTGAGGTTTGTTTCTGTTTTTGCATCATCTTTCTTGTCCATCATCCTTTTCTCCTGTTATCCTTTCTTCTACAAGATATTATCTTATATCAATGGTCTAACTTGGATTTCAAACTTCACAATGCTCAAATTTCATGTTCTCAGGCAATTGCTGACACTCCGTCATTTATCTTCCTTTGGGTCGGTGATGGTGTGGGATTGGAACAGGGTCGACAATGTTTGAAGAAGGTGGGTTTCCTGGTTTTTTCTTCTCAGTTGCTGTTGTTGTGTAGCTTTCTTACTTATTGGCTGTCTTCATGGAAATTGGAACTCCTTAGAAAAGTACTTTCAAGATGCTTGTTGGAAAATGATTCAGGTTGGATTAGGGTTTATGTCCACAAAGCACTCAAAATAGTATAAAGTAAGAACATGAACATTTTCAGGTGTTGATATGTAATCTGTTCCCAATTGGTTTCTCAAGCTAGCATATATGATTCCTGTTGCCCAGTAAGGCCGGCCTTGGTGGTAAAGGATGGAGTTGGGTTGTGGGGATTCCCGGGCTTGATTCCAAGCTGTACAACCTTTGTTCCCAAAATAAATTGTACTAAAATAAAAAAATTCTTATTTAATTTCTCCAGTATTAGCTTTCAAGCTAATCAAGCAAATGAAAACAGTATTTTTCCTTTTGCATGGCAACATTATATTTTCACCTCGTCTGTTTATATGATTCATTAAAGCTAGTTATAGTTTTATGATGCATCGCCGTAGAGATATTGCACTCCGGCAATTATGACAGTCATCTCATAGGGCATGGTTCTGTAAAGTGTAGGCCGAACCATAATTATTTCAATTGTTATATTTCTACTATTGGAAGATAACTCTTACTTTATATATTTATTTTTTACATATGAACTTTGCTTGTCATACAGTGGGGTTTCCGAAGATGTGAGGATATATGTTGGGTGAAAACCAATAAGAAAAATGCAACACCAGGCTTACGTCATGATTCACACACATTGTTTCAACATTCAAAGGTATTATGCTTATGTGCACTACCTCTATTAATCTGCTCCAGCTTATTGTACGCTCTTCTTTGTGCTTCCAGTTTATTTTTTTAAAATCGCACTGTACTTAAATACCAATTCTTGAAATGCCATTTTGATTAGGAGCATTGCTTGATGGGCATAAAGGGAACTGTTCGTCGCAGTACGGATGGACACATCATACATGCCAATATAGACACAGACATAATCATAGCCGAAGAACCTACTGATGGTTAGTACTTTGTTTTTATTTTATATTTTATAACTGTAATACCCATATTTCTGGTATATGCTTACATGTTGAAGTCTGTAGTGAAATTTCCATCATTGTTTCATCAACCATGGGTGGATCTTTTGAACATTATTCTTATCATTTGATGATTTGAACTGAACTATAGTTTATCACATATGCAGTTCAGTCCCTCTGGGTTACTATTTGTAAATTCAACCTACTGATAGTTTCTGTTAACCCCCTACTTTGCTTGCTAGTTTTGTCTTTTGATGTGCATGGTTTGGTAATGGCATCACTTTTACTGGTTTAGTAATCTAAAAAAAAAAATTCTGAATTAAATAAAAGAAAAGAGTCCCGGATTGATGATTTGAAGATATGGCAAAGATTCAGTCCACTATGTAGCAAACATGCACTTCAGTTGTGCAATAATCTGAATTAAAAATTATAAAGCATCTTTTGTTAACCTGAGGGTTTAAGGTACATATGCTTCCAAGGATGTTTTACCCTAGCCAACAGCATTCAAACTTTGATCTCCATGCCTCTAGTTAGAAATCTTTTATTGCCTTAAGCATTTTTTTCCTATATGGCCTATCCGTTGTAGTAGTATCACATTATCATTCCGAATTACAGGTTCAACAAAGAAGCCCGATGATATGTATCGGATAATCGAGCATTTTGCCCTTGGAAGGAGGAGGCTTGAACTGTTTGGGGAGGACCATAACATACGCTCAGGTTGGCTAACTGTTGGGAAAGGATTATCTTCCTCAAATTTCAATGCTGAGGTAAGGGAATTTCTTCGTGGTATAAAACAATCAATTTAGTTCACATTTTAATTATTAGTTAACAAAATAAGCTACTCTTTTTGGGAGGATAAGTAGAATTTGTTGGGGTGGATATGTACAAATGTGAACACAGAGGTAAAGAAAGGATCGCGACATGCTATCTTATGTCTATAGTCTATTACACATATTATTTAATGATTAACAGCAAGGTAGACTCTTTGTTTCATTTATTTTTGTAATGGACCACAGTGACCATTGTATCTCAGTAACTTTCAGCTTGGTTGAAAGCCAAGAAGAGGTCCCTGAGTCAGTATCACATTCACACTGTACCAGTAATAGTAGTAGGCGTGCCATAGTTTTCTCTCTTTTTGTCAGTAAAGCTTAATCCTTCACCTTTCAATCCTTAATTATTAAATTTTAACAATTTAACAACTTCCAAAAGCTAATATTAATTGAAGAAGTCGTTAATGATTCATAGAAATGATAAATTTGGGTTATTCAAGGTTTAAATTCGCAAAGGAAGCCAAATGGCGAATTGCCTAATATGACAGAAATTAGCCATATAAGTCAGACTACTTTAATGAAATATGAAAACTAGTATCCTCGTTCAACAAAGGTGGAGAAATCAAACTTGGCAAGGGCGGAGATATCGAACTTGGCTAAGTACATATAAAACTTTAAGAACACACCACATTACTAAAAGTTTTACTTTGACTCTAAATTTCCATTACTATGCGGTTTTGTTCTGGAATCCATCTATGTTATAAATCATATATATTGACCTAAAGCTACATCAACTTAAAAAAAATTGTTTTATTGATCTTCCGCCCTGCAAATGTTTGGAATTCTTCTTGCCATATGCTAGAAGGGTTATCATAATTTTGTAATCAATCTATCAAAGTCTTGTCACTTTAAAGTACAGCTTCAGATAACTTTTTTCTCATAAGTGGGCAAGCATTATCTAGTTTACAAAAATCATAATTTATAGTAACATCTGCTGCAGATCTGTTATCCTTCAAAACATATGAAATGAAATATTTTAGTTGGTGTTTCACCAAATGTCCGGAAAAGGTTCTTTAAACTATGCAGAGTGGTATATTTTGATTCTGGTGAAAGTAATAAATTTGTAGGCCAGCTATCTGCATCAACTATGAAACACGTCTTTTATGAGGAAAATCTACTTGTGAATTATTGTTCCAACACTACAAGGTAAATAGGAGAAAGAAGTTGTTCTTTCAGGATGTCGTAATTGCACTCCCGCATTTAAAGAGTAAAACACTTTGTTGTATGTTGATTATCTAAGAAAAGGTCACTTTATAGAAAGTGTGCATGGTTCAGGAGTCATGACCCTTGTCTACATGCGTATATCAACTGACCCTTAACATAGCGAACTATGGACAAGAAAGGGGGATTGCCATACTTACAATAGGTCTAACTGGTAGGAGCGAATTCCTTATTGATGCAGCCTAAAGTTATGAAGCAAAGTAGAACTTAGAGATGACGGAAGAAAACTTCTGCTGTTAACGAGCTGTAGTGAGGACTAGTTTTATGGTTGAGGAAGCTACAAATACCTTTACAATTGGCATAAGTGGCTGCCTCCATATTGGCATCCTCTTCATCATCATTAATGAACACATGATCTGAATACAGCATCTGAGTACGTGTCAATCCTACTTGGTATCTCAATCTTGTTTGTAACATCATCAATTCTTGAAAATACAGTGTCAAGGCAGCAGCTAGTAAGGAGAAGAAGAAGACTTCTCTCCATTCTGTTTTCGATAATCTCTTTCCAACATTATCCATGGGATACAATAACCCAGTGACACTACTGTTAGCGGATTGTTTCTAATGGCTTCTGATGGAACTTGCTTAGATTTTTGCAAAATGTCCCAAGTTGAGGGCGCAACACATCAAAAAAAAAAAAAGAAAGAAAGAAAGAAAGAAATCTGCTTACAATTATGCTGCCATTATTTCATAATTCCTATAACATTGCTATAGCTATTTGGAGCTATCCTCTGGTGAGACCTGATCACGTGCGTGCCATGATCTGCTAAACAACGGATCAATGACAGGTTTGGAGATACTGTTCCATAATGATCGTGGTAGAAGGTGTCCAGGACTCTTTAGAATTCAAAAAGCATTTCTAAATACTTGTCACAATTGTTGACCTTTGAATTGGATGTCAATTTTGATAAACCTGAAAATATAGCAAGGTCAAAGTCACAATAGTAACTTAGCAACAGAGACCACTGAAACTAAGCGATGCCCAAAAAACATGAGCAACATTGGGAACATATTAAAATTGATAGTAGGGGTAAGATTTGCGTCTGAGCCAACATGATTCACATCCATGTTGCAACCGACATGGAGACCAATCAACGTTGACATAAGACATATGGGCTGCAAATTCTTAAAAATACGCATGATGAGTGTTACACTTGTTCAGCATGTGTCTTGAAATGCATGACATCACGAGAAGCTTTGGCGGTGCATACATTCTCATTCTCCAATTCTGAAATCCAACATTTGTACCCAAAAGAAAGTAAAAGAGAAAACAGAAAAAGAAAAGAAAAGAAAGAAAACTCTTGGGAATCGGAGTAGCTTTCCTTTTCAGGATAAGCCACTTCATTAAACATCAATTTTCTCCTTTCAAATTTAACCCTACTGGCTAAATTTGATGATTGCTACTGTTTTGAATCTTTACTAAACCTGTGCAGGCCTATATCCGGAACTTTTCAGATAAAGATGGAAAAGTTTGGCAGGGGGGAGGTGGTCGAAATCCACCACCTGAAGCTCCTCATCTTGTACTGACGACCCCTGAGATTGAGGGTCTGCGACCGAAATCACCTCCAGCAAAGAGCCAACAACAGCAGTCCATGTCCTTGATCACCCCGGGGAGCTCCAACAGCCGGAGGGTTTCTGGAAACTCCCCTCAGAATCCAAGTGCTGCATCTTTCCCGGGCATGAACCAGGAGCCCTCGGGTCTTGATCCTCCGAACTCTTGGGTTTCCCCGATGGCGTCTGATGACAAGTTTTATGATGGTTACGGGTTCAATCCAGCTTGTGCCGGCCAAGTTGTTGGAGATCATATCGAGTTCGATCCTCATCGGATGTTAAACATGAATATGATGTGATTGAACTTTTGAGCATGGTTATCCTTCCTGGTTCCCCTCCTTTTTGGTATTATTATTATCATTATTAAATATATGTTTGAATGTGGGAAGGTCGCCATGCTTTTGTATCAAGTTTCTCATTATATCAGATGGCAATTGGTTTATTTCTTATTATTCTGGACGCAACTAATAAGATGCTGTAGGTTTTGATTTTGATTATTAGGTGAGAACAAATAGAACTGGCATTAGCATTTTAGATTTAAATTGGTATTCGAATGTGTTAATTGCGTAGAAATTCTAGAACTACACGGATCACTTGGGCTAATGGTACGAGGGGTTTGTACGCAGTTAATATTTTTCAAATCCATGGTGTTCTCGGCATATACTGCAAAGAAAAATACTCAAGTGGGACCAGCGAGCCAAATATGAGATAAGGAGAGGTTAAAGAGACCATCGTGAAATATAAATCGGATGCATAATTTTGTTAATACAAATTTACCCATAGAAAATTAAAGCAAAACACAATTGAAATTTATATATGATCATCTAAGATGGGGCATATATAAATTTATCCAAATGTTTATTTATTTTAAAATAAATTTAAAAGTTATTTATACAGAGTTTTATTTATTTATTTTGGATATGTGAGAAACTTGGTGAGGCAGGAGGATCCTCGAGCCAATGTTCGAGTTTGAATCTCCCACCCTTACCAATGAACCATGGGTAAACTGGATCTTCCATATCCGGCCTAGTCACTAGGTTAGTAAGACACTTAAGGGACATGAGAGGCAAGCCTCGAACCCGGGCCTTTGTCCTCAAAAGTTCGTGCCTTTGCCACCGACCGACATGCGGGGTATGCGGAAGTTGTAAGGAGAAATGCTTCGCGGAGTATCGATTACTTCCGAACGAAAATGATGAACACGATGTGATGTGAAGGCAGAGAAGAAATTGGTTAACAATTAGATATATAAAATGGATATGAAGTTTGATTTAGTAAGGCTATTATTACCGAAGTTAATTAGATTGTGCCATCTGAACTCTATTTTTTCTTTTCTGAAGTACCGAACCGGTTGGCTTATGGCCTGTTTGGATGAAGAGTAGGGGGGAAGAGAAATGTAATTTTAATCTTGTTTGAGAGTTGCATTTAGAGGATAAAGGACGGGAATGAAGGGGAAATTTGTGCCAAAATGTTACACCCCAAATTAGAGGGTAATGAAGGGGAAGGAAAGGAAGGGGAATTTTTTCCCTTGCTTTTCTTCAGTGAACTCCCAAACATACCATTACTATATATATATATATCATCTGTTGTACCTTTTATGTATTGGCCTCTAATTGCTATCTTGTAATCAAATGGAAGGCAGTTCCTAGAAATATATTTACTACTTTATGATTTATGATATTGATTTTAGTTAAAAGTAAATATATTTGTGCAAACATCGCTAAATACGAACAATGAACAGACGCAGCCCAAACGGGAAGTTGGGATGGCATTATTGTTGAATCTTGTGGGTTCGGATCCGTCCGGGTCGACCCGTTATTACCGGCCAAATTGCGAGTTCCCGGTCGTGGATTCAGCCCACTGGGCTTTCCCCCTCATAGCCCAACACTATTTATACCCAGCAACAAAATCGAAATCTAGGGTTTGGGTTTTCGTCATCGCCTCTCTCGCTCTCCTCTTTGCTTCTCCTCGCTCGCTGGGATCGAGAAGTACTAATCATGGTGGCGGAGAAGACCGTAGTACAGATCAGAACGAGGAAGTTCATGACGAATCGCCTCCTCTCTCGAAAGCAATTCGTAAGATCTCTCTCAAAAACCCTAACACTCTTCGAGCTTCCTCCTCCAAAACCCTAGTTTTTAGGATCTCCGTTCTGTTGTTTCAGGTCATCGACGTGCTGCATCCTGGGCGTGCCAATGTCTCCAAGGTTAGGTCTTTTTATTTTGTTTTGTTTATAAACCCAAAACAGTCATCCTGAGTTATTTTAAACCCGGCTACTGTTATAATTAGCTTATATTTGCGTCTAAGTTGCTGTATTTTGTGCATCGCTAGCTGTAGTTAGGTTTAAAAACTGTTTAGTGTGGGTATGTTGGGTAAAAGAAACATTTTGGATTGGGTGTGTTTAAAAATAAGTCAGGATTAAACTTTGGACTTGTGGGCAGAAAATTGCTTGGTCCTTTTATCACTTTGATCTGGATTAAATAGATATGATTTGTTATGTTAATTTGATTTTAAGGGTATTATTTAGAAATGCGAAGATTTGGGGCGTAACATAAAGTTAATAAAAAATTTAGAAATATGAATTCTTAAAGGGTGTCATGTAGATTTGTGAATGCTAATTACAAGTATGAATATATGGGGGCCTGATATATAATTAAGGAAAAATAACGGTCGAATATGACGAGATTTAGCATTTCGATCTGAATCAAATGGATTTAATGTAATTTTTTATTTTCGGTCTGTGTGTTGATTTGATTGTAGGCTGAGTTGAAGGAGAAGCTAGCGGAGTCATATAGCGTGAAGGACCCAAACTCAATCTTTGTGTTCAAGTTCAGAACTGCATTTGGAGGAGGGAAGTCTACTGGCTTTGGTCTAATTTATGACTCAGTTGAGAGTGCGAAGAAGTTTGAGCCCAAGTATCGTCTCATTAGGGTATATCTCAGTCTTCAATTTTTTCCCCTCTGCTTTGATATGTTATTATTTACCTTTGTATTTTTCGTTTTGTTCTTACTACATCTGTGCTCCTTGTGCTTTGCTTGTGGTCAATATGGGTAAGTGGTATAATGATGTTGCTTTGCCTACATATCTCATTGTATTTACCATCGGGCTCATTATACGATTGGGAATTTTGTTCAGTATCAGCTTTTCTTAAAAGCCCAACCACTCAAGTGCTTACATAGGTGCAGAATATTTGGCCGTGTTATTCTCCCAAGTGTAAAAGTTTACAGCTATTTGTTGAGCTGGTGTTTTCCTGAAAGGAAATTTATGAGGCACAACCTAGAAAAAAAGAGCATTGTTTGAAGTGTTTTATAAATATATCTGTTCGGGAAGCATAGATGCTTTATTTTTCAGCTTTTGGCACTTTTGAGATAATATTTTACTCCCTTCTACCTGATGTGCAAAATCATAGCTATGACCTTCTACTTGCAAAATAAACTATTTGCTCGTGGTTGTGGTCCAGTATAGTTGCTTTGTAGGCTACTGTGATATATTTACCTGGATAGCTGTTTTAGATGTTTCCTAGTTTGCTTTCATATTGGTTTATAATAAATGCCTCCTCAATATTAAGATTCAAGAGGGACACTGTTTAACCCTATGCAAAGGCTTAAGTAAATCTAATTATCAAAATTATTATGTTCACATTGTGGATACGAAAGGGTAAAAAGCAATGAAATATGGCCCAAATTTGTTTTGTTAAAGAGTTTGCAAATGAAGAAAATATATGAAGTAATTATCCAAGAAGAAAAGGATAGGAGGAATTGATGTTTTCAAGATTTTTTTTGCAGTATCTTTTACATCTCAATTTGGTTGCTGGATACCAGGACATATAGAAATTGTTGAAAATTGGTAATACACCTTGATTATTCTTTCTGGAGGAGCTCCTAGATTTGTTTGATGTAGACGCTATAGAGTAACCTTAGGAACCAATCACAGAATGTTGCACTTCGATGCTTTAAACTTTTTAAAGCATCAATACAATCTCTTTATGTTTGAAACAAGATAGTTTGTAATTGGTACATGTTCATATTTTTTCAGAATGGACTCGCTACCAAGGTTGAGAAATCAAGGAAGCAGATGAAAGAAAGGAAGAACAGAGCAAAGAAAATCCGCGGAGTTAAGAAGGTGGATGGACGTTCTTAATCTATTTGCCCGAAATTAAAATAAGTTTACACTTCCTTTTCTTTTGACTGACCTTGCTCTTTTGTAAAATACTCAGACAAAAGCTGGCGATGCTGCCAAGGGTGGAAAGAAGAAGTGAAGTACTCTTTGCTTGCTGCTGTGCTGCGTCTTCTCTTTTATCTGGTTTTGTTTTGGTTCAGTAGATGAGATCCTTCTATTTGTTTTAGTTTGGTTCGGTAGATGAGAATGTCTTATCAAATGTTTAGAGTCGTTAATAGTATAATTTGGAACAACTCGTGACTTGTTGATCAAGGCGAAGTTTTGATTTCAGTCTTTTTATTATGAGTTTGTTGATGAGAGCCCTTTGGTCAAGGGTAATATTTTTATGGGTTTACGGCGTATGGAGTGCCTGTAGTTCTATTGTTATGAATGTGCTCCGTGAATGAAATTTTTTGACTATTTAATAGTCAGAGAAAGTAAATTGTTCTCTGACAAATATATAGCCCTGAGGGTGAAATGGTCAAAAATTTCCCTAATCCATGATTAGTATGACTGCTGCGGCTAACCTGTGATTAGCCCTGTCTGTATTTGCTTGCGCTCAGCTTCTATTATGATTTTGCTAAGATTTTTGTTGATATGTTGCTCCTTATAAAATCTGGGGATTAGTGTTGCGCTGTTGGCTGTGACAATATGACCATGGGTTACTTGGTTTCTTTACTTATCAAGCAGTTTATTTAGAATTAGCACATCTCCCTGTAATCACCCGAAGGCATCGAGAGCGCGCAGCTTTTCTCTCACGAGTTCTAAGCACAAATTCAGCCGGTCATCCGCAGTTGTATGTCGATCTTTTCATGCTTGTGATGTGTGGTGCTCGGATCAATATTTTTCAGGATTTTAACTTTTCTCACTTGTATTTTTATTTAGGTTGGCATGAATGTTGTCATTAAGGATACTGATTCTATTATATTTGTCAATAAAATTGAGTGATTAATCTTTGCGTTTTGAGGGAAAATGCTAGAGGCACACTCCCAATCACACCCCAACCACACTCATCTCTCACTATAGTGCACTGGAGCCCACATGAGAATTAAAAAAAAACTCACATGAGAATTTTAAAAAAATTCTCATGTGGGTCCCAGTGCACTGGGAGTGTGGTTGAGGGTGTGACTGTAGCGCCTCTCGTGTGGTTGGGGGTGTGACTGTAGCGCCTCCCCATTTTGAGTGGTTAAAAATTGAAGAGACAATTATGCTTAGCTTTATCCTTTTTATAGGAATAATAGTAGCAGGGATACCAAATTCTTCTTAAACTCTCGGTACTTTTGGTGCAAACAAAGTTTAGGTTATCAAAGTTAAACTGGTGTGAACTTTGCAGTATTTAAGTGCAAACAGTGCAAGCCGATACAAGAGAAGCCAATAAAATTTATAAGAATTGAAATTGCTATTTCTCTCAATTCTTATAAATTTTTCTAAAGACATTAATCCCTGAACCACTGAAATTTGCTGTTGGCCAACTCTTGTAAGTTGGTTTCAAATTGATTCCTCCCACAACAACAAGAACAAGCGAACAACCTATCAACTGCGTATAAAACAAGCGGGTTTGGGTTACGTGAAGAGTCCGTTAAGATCCACCCAGTTTCGGGTCAAAAACAAAGTCCACAACCCATCGACCGCATACAAACCACGCGGATCCAGGTCTCGCGTGTAGGGGTGTGCAACAGTCGGTTCGGTTCGGTTTTTACCAAAATTTGAACAACCGAACCGAACCGTCTATAATTCAAAACCGAACCGAACTATTGCAAGTCGGTTCGGTACGGTTCGGTTCGGTTTGTTCGGTTCTAACTTTATCAAACTTATCAAACAACAAACTATGTTAAAGAAAAAAAATATCAACAAAGTAGGAGCATTAAACACTGATATAATAATATTGTTTTTCACCCATAATAATCCAGAAAATGAGTTTAGAGTTTGAGTCTTTGACTCTTTGGGGACGGGTCGGGTAGGGTTTGAGATCAGAATGGGTAGTATTACACTATATTCGGTCGGTTCGGGTTGAAAAGTTTTTAACCGACCCGAACCGCCCTACTCATAAAATCAATTTTTTCTGGTCGATCGGATCGCTTCGGTCGGTTTTTTCAGTTTGGACCGAACCATGCTCAGCCCTAATCGCGTGGAGAGTCCGCAAAGACCCACCGGGTTTCGGATCAACAACAACAACAACAACCCATCAGCCGCGTGTAAAGATCCGTCGGGTTTCGGGTTAACAACCACAAGCCCTATAATGCGTATAAATCCACGACCAACAACCTCGCCCGTCGCCTCATCCAACGCCAGAGAGAGAGAGCTCTCTCCAATGGCTCGCGCCCTTCTCACTCTCTCCAGTGGCTCCTCTCGCCTCTTCACCCCGATGATGTCAGATTCGATTCCTTTTCTTCTTTCTCGTTTTCGCTGTTCTTTACGCAATTGCAACTTTACCCCCTCGCTCTTGTTAATGGCAGCGGTCCAGGTTGGAAGCCAGGCGATTGCAGAGTTTAGCTAACCCTAGAAAGTGAGTTCTTTGGGGGGGGGGGATGGTTTGTTTTTAGGGTTTTGTACGGTTGATGAAAGTCAGGTGATTGAAATGTCGCCATGTTGTTGGTTTTTACCTGGAATTATCTGGTGATGATTTCAATGAAAGATACGGTTTCTAATTGTTTAGCCCTAGAAGTGAGTTCCACTGGATTTACCATTTGTTCTTTGGCGATGTGGCTTTCTTTAGGGTTTTGTTCGATCGATGGGAGTGAATTGTTCGAAATGTTGCTTAACATAAGTCCGTTTTGGATTTTACTTGGAATTATCTGATGTTTTTAACGAAAGATGCAATTTTTTTCTTCTTTTTCATCGTACGAGTCTATGGAGAAAATTGTGAGGATCCGAATCTCGAGCAAAGAGCCTAGATTTGAATCCTTCCTCCTCTTTCTATTGATAGCGATCATTTGCAAACTTATACTCTCACCTTCTTTTTTGTTAATTGCAGCGGCCAAGGTCAGAAACAAGCTTGGAGATTGCGGAGTATCGGCGAGCGCGGTGGGTTCCAATGTCTCTGTAGTGTTTCGGCACTGGCTATGGAGGCATCAGAGAGTGTAGCTAGCCAAAGAAAGTGAGTTACTTGATTTACTTTTTTTTAGAGTTTTGTTCAATTGATGGAATGATGTGATCACAAATTTGCAATGTAGCTTTTGGGTTTTGCTTGGAATTAGCTTTGTCTCCTGCTTGGGATTTTAAGGAAGATATAATTTCAGTGCTTGTAAGAGTCTGCTGAGCCAATTGTCTAAAAATATACTTAAAATTTACTTCAAGTAGAATTTTGAATGTTATGATTATCACTTCAAAGTATGATAAGGCATGCACACATTACTATATTAAACATGTTTAAAGATATTATATTCAATAAATATTATTAAGATAAATATACAATTTACCCTACCAAACAAGAGGTAGAATTTGTAACTATTCTACTGTAGCTATAGTGGTAGTCGGTACCTAAGCACGAATTTTGAATTTTATAAAATAATAAATTGATTGAAGATATTTTTCAAGTTTCATGTCACATTTGTCATATATTAATAAAAGTTCCTACACAAATAAATTTTCCTCCCTCCCTCCCTCCAATTACGGACATGTGTGCTATTGTTCTAATGACATTATACAGAGTTTAAAGTTTATTGCAAAGTTTAAAGCTTATTTCAAAAGAAAATGCTCTCAGTTTAATATCATATTATACTTGCTTAGAGTGGTATTTTATACGTTGTTTACATGTTGACATAGTTTTAAGATACTTGGTCTGTTCCCGGTTTCTATTTTTAGTTTCTTATTCCTAATATAAGATGACTCCTCACTCAAAATTTAATTTACAGGAAAAGAGTTGTTTCTGGAGTACAACCTACTGGATCCGTACACCTTGGAAACTATCTTGGCGCCATCAAGAATTGGATCTCACTTCAGGTTCGTTTGCTTCCTATGTTTATGTCATATTTGATTAATGATTAACTAGAGGCAAAATAAACATATATGACATGACAGCTTCATCAATTTGAAAATCAGAGGTGTCATGCTCAGTAGATTGTTATGTAAAATTATTCAATACTCTGTCGAGCTTGTATGCGTGTGTGTGTGTGCATGTGTGCTTGCGTGTGTGCGTGCATGTGATTTGTATCGGTACCTTTACTAGCTTTCTATCTATTTCGTGTCTGCATGCCTGTGTGTTAATTTTGTTATTTAATTTATTATAGTACAATGTTTCCTTCTGACTAACTTGATGACCTTGAATTGCTATTTCTTTGCAGGATACTTATGAAACACTCTTCTTCATTGTAGATTTACATGCGGTAGGGCACTTTTAAGGTTTCAACCTCTTTTCCTTGCTTATTATTAACAATTTTGGATTGTATGATATTTCTTGTTTAATCTTGTCAATCATATTTGACATCTCCCATTTTTCCCCTTTGTATATAGATTACTCTACAATATGATGCTGTGGAACTGTCTAAAGCAACCAGGAGCACTGCAGCAATTTATATGGCTTGTGGTGTCGACATAGCCAAGGTACGAGCCCACAAGTTTCTCTTTTCGTGCCACATTTTGCCTTTTAGTTGCTAATGTCAATCATTTGCTGTAAGGTATGAGACTAATTTCTGTCATCATTTGCAGGCTTCTGTGTTTGTGCAGTCTCATGTTCGTGCCCATGTAGAGTTGATGTGGCTACTTAGTTCTGTCACACCACTTGGTTGGCTGAACAAAATGATCCAGTTTAAAGAAAAATCACGCAAGACGGTGTGTCACTGGCGTATGATATCCTCATCACCATTATTATTTTTTCTTCTTAACTTCCTTGTTCATCTGTTGAATAAGGAATTTAATATTGTCTGTTATGTTAATTTTGTTATAGGGTGACGAAAATGTTGGAGTTGCACTTCTGACCTATCCTGTTCTAATGGCTTCTGATATTCTTTTATATCAGGTAATTGAGCTTTTATGTTCATATTGAATTGAGCTCCATACTCAAATATTGTTGAACTCTTCAAAGTTCTTCTCTTGGTTTAGTATGGATAAGATATTATGTTTTCTCAGTAAAAATCTACATGGAACCTGCAAAGTTCTTCTCTTGGTTTAGTATGGATAAGATATTATGTTTTCTCAGTAAAAATCTACATGGAACCTCCTTATGATTAATCTTTTGTATGCATATTTCTCAGTAAAAATCTACATGGAACCTCCTTATGATTAATCTTTTGTATGCATATGCAGTCCGATCTAGTGCCAGTGGGTGAGGATCAGAGACAACATCTGGAACTGACTCGTGAACTGGCTGAGCGAGTAAACTACTTGTTTGGGGGAAGGAAATGGAAGAAAATGGGCGGGTTGGATGCCTTTCCTATTACATTCTGAAAATTAAAATATGATAAGTTAACAATTAGTCTCCGTCTTGTCCCATGATTCTAATAGTCATCATTCTATTTTCAGGAGAGGTGGTACACTTTTCAAGGTGCACGTGTTCCCCCTCAACTTGGATAAAGTTGCAAGTTTTGAATCAAAACTTTTATTGACCTCATCATGCTCAATTTTAACATGTAGGTTCCTGAGGCTCTTGTTCCACCTGCAGGGGCTCGAGTGATGTCTCTTACAGATGGCCTTTCAAAGGTATTAGGGATTTGCCTTTCTTTTACCCTTTACATGTGAGAAAAGAGAGAACATGGTTCTTACTATTTCCTTTGCAAACACGTGCTCTTGTTATATCTTTTGAGTAACATGTGCTCCTGCTATAACCACGTTGACTAGATGACATCTTATGAACTGTAGTCTGGTGCTTCTGTCTATCTTCTTGAAATTATATGATATTAGTTTACATTGTAGATATTTCTTCTTCTGCTACTTGTATCTAGATAGGGGATTTTCCTTTTTCTTAATGCATTTAAGTTTCAATGGTATTCATTGCACCTTTCGCCTACTGACATACATCGGTGGTTCTTGGTAGATGTCAAAATCTGCTCCTTCAGATCAATCCCGCATCAATCTCCTTGACCCAAAAGACGTGAGCTACGAGGACTTTTTCTTCTATGTGTTGATAATTAGTGAACTGTTATTTCTTATAGTTTTATTCTACGGAACTGTTATTCTTTCAGGTGATTGCAAACAAGATTAAGCGCTGCAAGACCGATTCCTTTCCTGGGTTTGTATAATAGAATTCTGGTTCTTGCGTGTATTGCATCACATGTAGTTGCAGAATGGAAAACTTGCATAAGCTGATTTTGGTTGTATCAAATGTTCTCTGTCACGGACCTTAGTTTATGCGGGTTTATAGGGATTGAAGGCTGATTTTGTTAACTAAAGGCCTCTACTTTCCTGCCGTTATTGTATGTTAGGACGCAGTTAGTTGTCGGAGTACTTTAACAGTGATTCTGCTTATTTATGAAGTAGAATTATTTATTCAATGAAGAAGTATCAGTCGCTTTTGCTTTTTCAAGGATTTGATGTGTCATTCATTTTAATACAAACACGTCTGGACATCAAAAGAGGGTGCAATTCTGCACGTATGATAATATTAAATGAAACCTGCTAATGATGTGTCAGGAAGGAGTTTCTAATTGTACCATTTACTTTCTTTAACCACTCATTTCTTTCAATGTTCTAAGCATATCTTTCCTTGCTGATGATCATGGCATTACTGTTATCACTTAACTAAAAGTTCTTATGCTTGAAATAAGCTATGGAGCATTACGTTGTTAATTAATTGGTCATCATGTTACTTCCAAGTTTTACTTGCTCTTTTTTCAAAGTGACCAAAAAGTGTCTCCTGGGATCACAGGCATCTTGGCTACCATGTCGTATATAAACAACATTGGGTGCATGACATAGTGCTGTAACCATCTTGATATGCCACAAAAACTTATATTAGCATATACATTAAGGAGCATTACTCCTGTTGATAGTATACTTCTTCTTAAAGCTTCCTGCCATTTCTCTAGTTTCCATTCTTAACTTTTTTTGGTCCTGTGAATTGTTTTCACATAAGTTATTTGTTTGCATTCTTGACATTTCTTGAGTTCCATGTCATTGTTTTGACATCTAAAATCTTAATTTTATGTTTTTCAAACTTTTCAATCTACAGGTTGGAATTTGACAATCCAGAAAGGCCTGAATGCAACAACCTTCTTGCTATATACCAACTTGTTACTGGAGTTGGAATTTGACAATCCAGAAAGGCCTGAATGCAACAACCTTCTTGCTATATACCAACTTGTTACTGGAAAAACTAAAGAGGTACGCTTGTTTTCCTGAATGCAACAACCTTCTTGCTATATACCAACTTGTTACTGGAAAAACTAAAGAGGTACGCTTGTTTTCTGGAGATCAGTTTTATATAGGATTCCTTTGTTTTTCTTTTCTATTTGATTCAATATTTCCTCTTGTACTAATAATTCTTAATTACATGCTTTCTGAAAATTTTGCCATTTCCAAGAGAGGGAGAATAAAACCTGCAGATCTCTGTAGATTGATGCTTCTAAACATTTCTTTTGTTGCAGGAAGTTTCACTAGAATGCCAAGACATGAACTGGGGAACATTCAAACTAAACCTCACAGATGCTGTAATCGATCATCTGTACCCAATACAGGTGGTTATATATATATGTCTTATTTTGCTTCAATCACATTTTAATCGTTCCATGTTTAATCCACAAATCATTCATAACTCAATAGTTTTATAGGAGACATTTGGCATGTAAAATTTTAAACCATTAATAATTGCATTTTGCAAAGGACAGTAGTTGTCTATTTACTGTAGTTGTCACCCCTTTTACTACTGTAGCTGTAAAAGAGGTTTAAAAAAAGTTTATTTTGCAAGAACGACTTATAAGTAAATTGATTACAAGTTATTTTGCAAAAGTGGATTAATTTTGCAATTATATTTCCCAAAAAACACAGTTTAGCAATTGTATCTGTCTTTAAAGTTGCACTTGAGTTGATGATGTAGTTTCCATTAACCAAATAAGAAGAGCTTGACCTCCTTTTCTCATTTTTCTTTTCTAGACTCGCTATGGAGAGATTACTTCCGATCCAGCTTATGTCGATAAAATTTTATCGGATGGAGCCGCCACAAAAGCTGCTGAGATAGCAGATGCTACTCTCGGTAATGTCTACCAGGCCATGGGCTTCTTGAGGAGATAGCATAAAGAGTGATTATCGCCCTTATTTATTAAAATATATAGTTCATTCGAGAACAAGGTTTTTATGTATTATTCTAGAAGTATATGCAACTTAGTTGCACGTACGTTCAACTTTGTATCATTTAGACGTAAATGAAATTTTGAATTGTTCAGGCAGCACCTGAAAGTACTTTTGACTAGTGTTATTTGATTTGAACATGGATTTGGTCCATCAATCATAGGGTTTGCATTCTATTAAAGATGCGTATCCTTTTTCTGAGAATGTGCAGATTTATCTTCTGCTTCAGATCCAGTTGCTAACATTCGATCATTATGATTTTATGATCAAACTTTGCTACACAACAGTCTTGTAGATCACATATTGTGCCTTGTGAAAGACACATGCGTTGAAATCCTCGTGAGAGACACGTGCGTTGAAATGTAATCTATCTCTAGACTATAAACTTTCTCAAATCAGGACCTAAAAGCAATTTATTGATGGTACTTACTACCTAAGGCTCTTTGTCGTGTGAAAAAGCTTCTCTTTCTTGAGAGTATGAAGATGCATCTACTTCATCCCAGGGCAGAAATTGAAAGTTTGCTTTCTAAAAATTTATTATTGGAAGTAAAAAAACAGAAAATTCATATAGAAACATTTTTAATTCATTTATGTGTTGATGTCACATTTTCGGTGACTTCATTTATTTGATTTACAAAAATAAACTGAAAATGAGATATAGTGTCACAAGAAAATTTTCACTAGTTAAGGAGAACAATTATTACATGATGATCTAATCATCCATTATGTATGTTGTTAATATTTATGAATTAAATATTTTGTATAGCATGTTTATTACGTATTTAATTTAATAATCATCTTGGGTAATTATATAATTTTATCCTAATTTCAAACAATAATCTCATTTCATGCATAAAAGTAATTGGATTAGCTCTCTTGCTAGGTGAAGAGAAATGAGCGGGATAAAACATTAAAACCCTACGGATATCGGGTTCGGATCTAGATTCAGGGATCAATTGAGTAATACACCCGAACCCGAACCCGTTCATATATTTCTATAACAACTGAAATAGTAGACATCCAGGCGAACTCCCTTAAGCCCTAAAATCTCCGCCTCTGCCTCCGCGAGCAAGTTCACGCCGCCGCCGGTTCGCCGTCGATTTCTAATCCCTCCCCCCTCTTCGTCGCCGGAGATTACTGTATCAGTAGAGCTGATGGGAAAGCGTAAGAGGAACGAGAATGGTGGTGGGCCCGCTCGGGGCCCCGACGGAGGGCAGCAGCATTGTCCCGCCACCGTGTTTGTCTCCAACCTCCCCTATTCTTTCAAGTCCAAAGAGGTGCGTTTCTTTCTTCTCTTTCCTTTTTTGTTTGATTTCTTGTTGGAACTTGTAGCTCATCGAGTTTTGCACCCTTTTATTATTATTATTATTATTATTATTTTAATCTTATTGGGGTTTGATTCAGCTTGAAGAAGCGTTCGTCGAGGTGGGCCCTGTGAAGCGCTGCTTTATGGTAACCCATCAAGGTGGGCAGTTAACATAGTGCAAATTGCTGCATTTTAAATATAATTGATTAAGATTTACTGCTGCAGAATGTTGGCGTATGGGACTTTCTGATGCGATTGAAAAGATAATAGTTTGGGGATTCATATATTCGTTGTTATATTCATTGGCTTAATAGCTAAGCAGCATAACGGAATGAGAGAAGACGAGAAAGCCAAGAGTTGTATAATTTCTTGAAATAATTATAGAAGTCAATGTAAGACCTGTGCGCATCAGATTTGTGTGTAGCACTGGATTTTTCATGGAACCATGTTTGAAACATTGGCATCCATTTCAGGTTGAGAACATGCGGTTCTTATGTATTTCACATCGTTTTTCGTACTTGTATATTCTTTATGTTTACTTGCGTGTATTCAGAAAGACAGTTTTGTAGGATGAATTGTTCCGGAGATCTGTGTTGAAGGGTAATTTGGAAATTTCTTGGTTTTCCTCCTTTGAGAGACATCATGATTTTCTGCATTATAATAGCTTTTGTTATGTGCATTCGGTAATATTCTTATGATATATGAAATAATCTCGTGTTTCTTACACACTTTCTTGCCTACAGGTTCAGAAGTAACTCGTGGCTTTGGGTTTGTCCAATTGTAAGTTTATAGACTTACTCTGTTTCTCTTTTGATATTGTTAAGCTAAAAGGGTCTACCGTTGGTTACAATTTGCAATAATATTTAGATTTATCATTTTTTTCCTTCAAAAATTTAGGGTTAAAGGTATAAATAATTTGACATTCAAATGCTTTACTCGGCTCAGGTACACATTTACATGATAGAGCTCTTCTTAAACTGGACTTTTGATGCTTCTTGAAAGTTGAAACATGACAACATCCTCTATTTTCTTTCGTTCATTCTAGCATGTCTTTGTTTCTAACTCATATATTACATACATGGCTTGCTCATTGTCGGACCAGCAATCTTCTCTGCTCTTGGGATATGCAGAGCTTGCCACCCTAGAATTGAGTGGAGTTCTTGGCTCTATCCAAACGAGGCCTTGTTGGGTTGAACTTGAGTTAGAGGCATGCTATGTTTGTAGGAATCTCAATTTCTATTTAGTTAGGACAGTTAGCAAGTGATTTTGTTTGCTAGAAAATAAAATCAAGCTGTTTATTGGCCCTGCTTTTTGGAAGGATTTTGGACTTTTAAGTATACTTGAAGGATGTTATCTTTACCGCTAAGTTATGGAAGTTACCCAGTAGCCCTCGAATGGACTAAGGCTGAGATTTTCTTGAAGTCTGTAATGGGATACAACAGACCCCTTATTCTCTATATCTTTTGCATAAGGTCTCTCGTCATTTAGAAAGTACATCCTCTTCGGCACAAATCATCATATGCACTACTTGTGAACTATATCTCATATTTCTTTTTATTGTCTTCAAGTAGTTTGGGATAACCGGTTGATGTTTTTTTAATGCAAAATGACCATCTTCATCTTTCTCAAGCTGACATCTTAATTCATTCTGGAGTCTGTGTCTGTTAATCTGTTTATTGCATAAACTCCTCTTTTTTAATGTAATAATCAATTTGGTACTTTAGTCCTCTACGTGTCTCCTGTAGTTGGGAGCTCATATTTAGAGCCAAGATTTGAACTTCCACATGAGCAATCTCAATCTTTAAGGTTTTTTGCGTGTTATGCTCCATGTCTTTGATGTAAAGGTTGACTTCGTTCTTTGCAGTGCTTCTGTGGAAGATGCTAAACGTGCCATTGAAGTTAAAAATGGATCAGCCATAGGTGGTAGAAAAATGAGAGTCAAGCTTGCAATGCATCGCCTTCCTAGGGATCAACGTCAGCAAAAGAAAAATGAAGGCAAAACATAGTATTTCAGGATTGCATCTGTTATCATCGCATTCTTTGCTTTGTAATTCTTGTCTACCTTCAGTATTAGTGAGCCTTCTGAAATTTGGTGGTGGTTCTTGTTCTGCAGTGTGTCCGGAGGAGACGAAAGCAGATAAAGATTCAGTTGTTCTATCTACTGGTCCAAAGAAACACAATGAAAATACGCAGACACCAGATCCACAAGAAAAGAACCAAGAGGCCCCAGGTTTAGCTTGTTTTCCATTTCACTGTCAGTCTGTCCTGCTATATTTTTATTTAGATTCTTTGATTGCTTAAAATTTATTAAGTTGATGATTGTTTCAGAAACTTTAGCAGCAACTGGTGGCGCTCATCAAATGCCACAACCTGATGGTGTCCCTCCTGATAAAGCAAAAGGCTCAGAAAAGCAAAGGTAACATGTTATCTTTGTGGACATTTTCTTTGAGATGCAATTCCATTGATTCAATAGCAGTTGAATTAACTTGGTCTGATTTGGTCCCTGAATTTCACTGTGAACACTTTTTCATGATTCCTTTTGTTTATTGTTAACTTCTCATACTAGATTCCTTGTCCAAATGTAAGACAAGGTTACACCATAAAGCACTATTCTTACTATTAGAAGTTAAATATTTCTCAAGAATGCTGTGTTTCAAAATTTCAATCCTTGCTGTTGCAAGAATAATAAGGATATATTACCTTAGTATTGCATTTAACTCTGTATACATATGGTTCACAATGTTAAACATCTATTTGTATTTAAACTGAACCTTAAGTTTTATTATGACTAAACCTTACTTGAACTTTTTCTATAGATAGGTATACATGAGGTTAAGCAACACATTGATTTGTCAACTTAAAAAGAGAAATATAGAACTTCTAAATCTTACTTAAACTACTTATAAATATGGGTTGGATTAGTATGAGAAGAAACACTATTAACTGAAAAGAATGTTTGGTGTGATGAAACTTTTATATCAGTTTTGAGTATATAAACTACTAGTTTGCGGTCCGTGCAAAGCACGGTATTTTTGCTACAGTAATCCCTTCTTTCCCTTATTCATCCCCTATTATGACTTTGGAAGGAAAGATCCTTATGGACTTAAACTGCCCAAAAGTCTGGATTATATTCATCCCCGTGTAGTTGTTTAGAATAGTGTTTGCTCATCATTAGACCTGTCTAAACTATGCCCATCTTAATTCTTCATTGTACTGTAAAAAACACATGTAGAAATCACCTTCATAATATGACTGATTTAATATATTTTTTTTCGTTTTGAAGGGTTGCTAGAACAGTAGTATTTGGTGGTCTTCTTAGTTCCGAGATGGCAGTTGAAGTATTCCATCGAGCTGGCGAGGTTGGCACAATATGCTCTGTAAGTTATCCCCTTCCAAAGGAAGAAATTGAACTTCATGGTTAGTAATATCTGCTTCTTTCTGCCCATAATATTTTTAATTGCAAGATTGGAAATGTATCATAAGATCATGACGGACCTTATAGTGTATCTGATTATGCTATTGCATCAATGAAATTATCAGATCTTTTTTTTATCTCTCTTATTATATGGGTAAAATCATAGTTCATATATCAATTTACCTAATTTCCTTGCATATTAAATAAAAATGATGAACTTTACTGAGGGCTTTATAATTATAACATATGTGAGACTGCTTTAGGTCTTGCTCGAGATGGATGCAAACCAGAAGCTGCAGCAGTACTCTTTGCAAGTGTCAAGTCAGCATGTCGTTGCGTAGGATTGTTGCATCAGCAAGAGATAAAGAATGGGCGTGTTTGGGCACGCCAACTCGGTGGGGAGGTATATCTTTCAGTGAACCATACTTGTGTCATGCAATGATATTTTGACTCTTCATTTTCTAATATGTTAGTTCATAAATATATAATTCAGTGCAGAGCTTGTAAGATCAACATACTGTATTTAAATTAATATTAGCTGCACGTTGACATGCTTTCTTTAGATGGCTGCATCTTTTGTCATATTTTGGGTTGCTCTATAAACATGTTCCTATACTATGTCAAACTTAACCTTAAGTTCTCCGACACACTTGTGTACTCATAGTAATCTTACTTCATAGTCAGTTACTGTCATTGTCCTGAAGTTCTTGGATGCACTTGTGTACTCATAGTAATCTTACTTCATATTCAGTTAATGCCATAGAACTCTGAAAAATAGAAATTTTGGCCTTGGCCTTCAATGTAAAAATTTATCAAAGTTCTGTAAGATCATTGCTGTTGCTCCTGTTTCGCTGTTATTGCTGATTACTTCTTCTACTGCTATCAGTGTTGCTCCTATTCGGTTGGGAGGAGGGATCTTCTTTTTGTTATTGTTGATATATGTTGGTTTCTTAATGTTTAAATTTTAATTTTTAATCTTTTATATTTAGGAGGAGGGGGATTCTTTACTCTGTCACTAATAGTTATGCTTGACTTATCCTTTAATTTTTTTGGCTACCCTTGGGTAAGTTTGTGACTGAAGGCGTCACAAATTAAATTCCGTGAAGCATGTTCAGCTGAGCTGTTTCATATGTATGATTGTTTTTCAGGATGCATGTTTAAGTGTGATATAAAACTCGAATGCTTTGCTGACTTGGAAGAACATTATGTGGTTCTATTTGGTAAAGAACGAACTTAATTTGTTACTCTTATCTGCATAGTGATCTTTTAAGTTCTCTGTTTTTTCTGTGAATTATAAGTCACTGTTGTATTAGCACATTATATTTTTGGAATTTTTATGGTTGATTTCTATGCCTTTGAGATTATTTTGTAGGTAGCATATATTTGGTTGACATGTAATTGTGGAATAATCTTGATATCTGTTAGGTGCTCATCCTTATGTCATCATCGTCTTCATTTTTGTCATCATCATCCTTATTATTTTGGTCGCTCTTTTACTTTCTTTTTGTTTGATATATTTTCTTCTTATGGCTTGACTCAGGGATCTAAGATAAGCAAGTGGAAAGTAATAGTCAGGAATCTTCCGTTTAAGGTATTGCATTGTTCTGTTTGTTTCTACCTTTTGCTATCTCCCAATTCCCAACTGCACCTTTTATGAAGACAGTAATGATCAGGCCGAAGTAAAATTAATATGCAGGTTAAAGTTAATGAGATACGAGATATTTTCTCCTCCGCAGGATTTGTCTGGGATGTATTTATTCCACATGTTTCAGAACAAGGGTACTAGAAAACTCATCTCTCTTTCCTTTGATCTGATTTTTGATGCCACTGTATTGATCCCTTATGTCTTGCAGGTTGTCCAAGGGTTTTGCTTTTGTCTCTTTTACGTCCAAGAGGGATGCTGAAAATGTATGGTTTCTGATCATTCAATAGTCTTGACAAAGTTTTGAGTAAAAATAAAAATTATCTTAGTAGCGAGACTTTCCTTTTCAGGCCATAAAAAATATCAATGGCCGAGTAGTTGCGAAAAGATCTATTGCCGTGGATTGGGCTGTCCAGAAGAAAATTTATGTTGCTGCTACAAAATCTACCTCTTTGCAAGATGGTAAGTTGTACTCCTTTCATCTTCAGTATTTTCCTTTAGCTTTTCATCTCAAAATAATAGTATATGGTTGGCTGCTTTATCCCTGTTTATATGTGCTATGTTTCTTGGTTGTAATGGATAACTTTCTAACTACTGGATTTGGACTTCTAGTTATGATGTTTGTTTGAGACCACTGACATTGATGTTCATGTGAAACTTAGAACTTTAGCCTTCCATTGAATTTGAAATATCTATTAGTGATTGCATGCTGATTTAAAATTTGTGAGGTTTATCATGCCAGTTAAATTAAACTTTACATCCTTTTTTGTTTTGTTTTTAAATTTTCTTATTTATCTGGTTAAACCAAGCACCAACCTGTGTGTCTTTATTTGTTCTTGGAGCTAATGCCTTCAACTAAACTACTTCTGATCTACTGGTGGATGCAGGGTCAATTTTCACTAGAGTATAATGAAACAATACTTGGCTTATAAGCCATTATACCATGCATACGCAAGAAAGATCAAAATATTCTAATTTGTAAACCTAATACATACATGTGCACACGCACACGCCTGTACATCCATATGAAACCGAGCACCACTCCTTAGTGTTCCCTGTTCAGTTCTTGTTGTGCATGTCTATTCGCTAACTTTTAGCTTTCATTATCCGACCTTTAAGCTTTCTGAGTTATGAACAAGTGCTACATATCTAAAAGTCATTTCTTTATCCATCTAGGTTTACCGTGAATCGATTTTGGGATCCTCATTTACTTCCAATATTAAATTTGTTTGCTAGGACTTATGTTTTAACCTATGTTTTTATCCATAAAGCCGTTTTCACTTTGTGAAAGCAGCTAAGTTTAAGCAGATTCATCTTTATGCTGATGGAAATTAAATTTTTTATAGTTCATTCTTACTCAATGTTTGTTAGCCTATGTGATATACGCACCAAGTTGTTCTCAGCATTTCTAGGATAGCATGCATGTAACCCTATTATTGTCTCATCTATTTCTGCATTACAAAATTTGAAAATAAACACAGAAAATATTAGGTACAAATTTGTCTTTTATGTACATGTTTTACATAAACTGTTTTTGTTCTGGTAAATATTATTTGTTGTAGGACAATCAGTTGACAGTGACAAAGAGGATGATGTTAGTGAAGATGATGTGAGTATTGAGGATGTTGAGGATCGTGGTCTAGGAGAAAGTCAGCATCCTTCTGAAGAAACTTATACAACTCAGAAAGGGTCAGCTGCTGATGAGAGTAGCATGCTTCCCGCAGAAGTAAATTTTGAAAAGGAGGCAGAAGTTGCAAGAAAGGTTCTAGATAATCTGATTAAAGCCTCAACTGGATTTCAGCCATCATTGGGGGGAAACTCGAAGAAAACTGAAGGCACTGAAGAATTACTGAATGCAAATGATAAAGTAAGCAAAGAACCTACTGTTCCTGGAACGAAGTCCACTGTAGACACCAAAAGATCTGAAAAAACACCTGAAGAACTCAACAAGAGCAAAAGTGATTTGGAGAGGACAATCTTCATAAGCAACCTTCCGTATGATATTGGTAACGAAGAGGTGAAGCAAAGGTTCTCAGTATTTGGGCAAGTGGAATTTTTCCTTCCTGTCCTTCATCCCCTCACCAAGTAAGTGGCATTTCTATGTTTTTTTAGGGCTTGAGCTTTAATATCAAGACCATGAGATGTATCAAGATTACTATCTTGTTAATTTAATTGGAAAAACATGCTGGGTTTTGACTGGACAGACGACCCAAAGGAACTGCTTTCTTAAGGTTTGGTAAGACATCCGCAGCTGATGTGGCAGTTACTGCAGCAAATGCTGCTTCTGGTTTGGGAATTGTAATGAAGGGGAGATCACTCAATGTTTTGAAGGCTTTGGACAAGGATTCGGCTCATAAAAAGGGCCTTGAGAAGACAAGAAATGAGGTTCAAGATCGTCGCAATTTATATTTGGCAAAGGTAATTTGTCCCTTCTTTTCCTGAAAATGCATATAATCATATCATTTTCTGGGAAGAAGGATAACATCATTTTATACAAAAGCAGGAAGGTGAAATTCTGGCCGACTCTCCAGCAGCTGAAGGCGTATCAGAATTTGATATGAAGAAGCGTGAAGTGTATGTTATTCGTCTTTATTTTAGAATTTGTCCATGCTAATTTTCTTGCTGAGTTCATTTTTTTTCAAGTTATACGACGATGACATGACCCGACTGTCTTTTGCGTTCTTCAAAAAAACACACCATATGTACATTGGATCATTGGTTCTTCTCTGCCTTGATAAATCAATTTATTTTGAGACCCTTTTCTTATAGGTTGGCCCAGAAGAAGGCAGAAATGCTTCGTTCTCCAAAATTTCATGTATCAAGAACTAGAATTATTATTTACAATCTTCCCAAGACAATGTCAGAAGAGGATGTGAAGAAGCTCTGTATAGATGCTGTTCTTATTCGTGCTTCGAAGCAGCAGCCTGTTATTCAAATGGTTTGCCTACATTGGGTGAAAGTATGTTCATTGCCTTGCATGTTGATGGTTTTCCTGATAGTTACACTCTTGCATCCAGGTAAAACTCTTAAAGGACGTCAAAAAAGGACAGGCTGTTGTCAAGAAACACCCACGTGCTTGCATCCAGGTAAAACTCTTAAAGGACGTCAAAAAAGGACAGGCTGTTGTCAAGAAACACCCACGTGCTGTAGCTTTTGTTGATTTCAAAGAACACGAGCATGCGCTTGTAGCCCTTAGGGTTCTTAACAATAATCCAGGTAAAAAGGCTTTTGAAAGAGTTAATTGACTCTATTCTAATAACCATTGCAATCATTAGCAACCTTAAACTGCCATTTAAGAATCAAATTCTCTTGGGAGTTATGATTAATCAAGATGTTGTTATTTTGCATTCTAAACATAATTGTTAGGATTGATTGAGTTGCCCTTGGGTTTCTTCTGCCCATTACTCTTCCTGACTTTTCCTTAACGTTCATTCGAAGTTCGTTGGTTAAGTTTACACCTCCTTGTAGTCACTAATATAATAGTGTCCTTTTGACACAGAAACTTTTGGCCCAGAGTATCGGCCTATTGTGGAATTTGCTGTTGAGAACATCCATAAAATTAAGCACAGGAAAGCCAAGTTAAATGAGAGTCATGGCAACTTAGAAGATGGAATGAAGGGGCACAAGAAAGCTAAGTTGGATTCTTCAAATGAAAATCGTGGCAGCTTAGAAGAAGGCATGAAGGGACACCGTTCTTCATCTCAAACAGAAGATGCTAACACAAACCGAAGTCATAAGAAAAAGTTGAGAAACATGAAATCTAAGAAAGGCCATAGGGAATCTTTTAAAGAATCTGAACTTAGCAGCGAAGGAACGAAAGATAATGTTGAGGTGATCAAGGAGGGTAAAAATGCCAGAAAACAGAACATTTCTTCAAGAAGAAATAAAGATTCTTCGGCCAAGTTAAAGAATGGGTCAGTTGCAGCTGAACAAACCACTGAAAAGGTGAGTATCAATATGCGGTGAAAAAAATCTGCCCTCTATTGAATGTTATTTACTTTTGCCAAGTATAAGATTTTCTTCCCCCACTTGGTATATATGCCTCTTTTTAATATCCCACTTCTATTTATGCGGAGCATATATGAATGCTATTTTCTTCTGCCAAGTTGCAGCAGGGAGATCAACTGAAAAAAGAAGCAAAATTTACTTCAAAAAAGAGAAGAAAACCACAACAAACCAAAGAACTGGAGCCAAAAGAAGAACCAATAGGCACCTCAAATAAGAGGAAATTCCAAAATGCTGGTAAAGAGCAGCAGAAGGAAACAAAAAATGCAAAGAGGAGGAGAGCATAAGAGGAAATTCCAAAATGCTGGTAAAGAGCAGCAGAAGGAAACAAAAAATGCAAAGAGGAGGAGAGCGGGGGCTTCAGATAGAGAAGCGGAGGATAAGCTTGATATGCTCATACAAAAGTACCGCAATACTTTCTCACAGCGAAGTTCCGATAAATCTAAAGATGCTGCGAGTTCTGGAAGTAGAGAAGTTAGAAGATGGTTTGAATCATAGTTAGAAGATTTCTCGGGAATGAAATTTTGCTTGTATACTTAATACTGCTGTTATAATGGTTCGTGTTTCTGTTATGATTTATTATTGTCTTAATTGTATCCGGGATGTTAAGTTAGTATAACGATGATGTGAGTTTACAATTCACGTTTGCCTTCTGCAATCATAGTCCAATAATGAAAAACTGCAATGCTTCGTCTTGATAGTGTACATCTAGTGAGTTAATAGTCTTTGGATATTGTTAACTCTTCGGATATTTGATGATTGATGACTTGGTTTCATATGATTTTCAGAGATAACTCGGGTGAGCACAGTCGATTTGCAATTTTGGCGGTTCAGTTCGGTCCTAAAATATTTGGATCCGAAATAACCGAATCGACTATTTCCGACATAATCGTCTAAAATTTATGCTTGTTCAGAGCGAATGTATAATTTATATTAATAATTTTTATATATTTTAATTGATAAATGTTTAATTTTAGTCTAAAATTTATGCTTGTTAAAAATTTGAAGGAGTAATAGTCTTATTTTTTAGCTAGAATTCTCTACTTTTACATGTCTATGATCAAACCGAACGAACCGCACCAAACTGATTTGACATGATTTGATTCAGTTTTAAATCGAACTAGATTATGTTCGGTTTAACAAAAAATAGTCTACCGTTTGCTCGCAGCTTACCCTTAGAAATCTCTAGCAAGTGGGGCTGTTTAGTGAATTGGCAAGTGAGCCCATCATAGACCAAATAAGGGAAGCCTTCAAAAAAGAAATTAAAGTGCCAAAAGTAAAGAATCTGGTGCAAGAGAACCTCCCTATCAAGCTTGCCTAACTTGAGGAAGCATCAGTACTTGCTAATGCTTTCCACTACAAATACATAATAATCATATTTTTGATTCAATTATGATTTGATGGTGTTGGAATGTAAAGACCAAAACCACAAGTTCTGACAAAAACATGGCGAGAGCGGGGAAAAAAAATCACATAATAAGAGCGTTCTATAGAAACCCTCTAAGTAGTATAAGCTTACAAATGTCTTTATATCAATTTTAAAGTTGATGATTGTATTGATTACTGCATGTTAACTATAATTGTAAACACCGTTCCTATTTAATGTTTTCTTAATATCGATTGTAAGTATAAGAAACATTACGTCAAAAGATTAATGCTTACTTTTTATAGGGATCAATATGCTCGCAACATTCTTCATAGCTTACTTGTAAGGGGACCCCTAGTGATTGCTCAATCCACACACAACCCAACAAAACACTCTCACTTGCATAAAAACATCGCACATCAATCCTAAGATTCTTTAGGATCAGCTTGGGCAAGGAGTAGGGCCCTTTTTAGAATTAGTGGGGATAGCGAAATGATCGTAAATGAAAAAGGCACAACTCCACACAATTTAGAGTATGACTCGTAAAAACTCAGGGCCATAAGTTTTAATGCAGGGAGGATAAATATGAACTCGATGATTCCCCTTATCATGTTGGGAGATTATATTCCAGTTATAATCTTAGCTTATCAAGAGATTATTCGCACGAGCTCTTTTAAGTGGTTAAGAGCAATGTTTTAGCACGTCAGCTTATCACTAATTTAAAATTTTGCCTTGAAAGTAATATATATTGTTTTTTCGCATTCCATTATTTTCACATTTAGCTTACGAAAATTCTGACTATAAACATCTTACTCGCATGAAAATGCTTTCTCATAAAACCGTAGCTATTCAGTCACTTTACCGTAAGTGTACGATTAATTATGAGAGGCACTAGGGGCACACCATCTACCATAATTCCAACCACATCACCTCTCTTGCTATAGTGCACTGGGCCCACATGAGATTTTAATTTCTAAAATTTCATGTGTGCCCATTGTACTGTAATAAGAGAGGTGGTGTGGTTGAGAGTGTAGTAGAGGGTGTGACCCTATCATTATTTATTAATTATACCACAAAAGTTCGTCTTTATGGAGCAACAAAAGCATCTTTATTCACCGGGCCAAATGATGAAATCGCCGACATGAGAAATTAAAAGGAAAAAAAAAAAACAAATAAGTCGCGAGAATTTGGGCGGTCGGGTTCCTGGAAGCGAGACCACATGCCAAACCACTGACCCAGACTTCAGCGGGTCCCGCAAATAAGATGCTGGTGCCGTGAGCTTTTCCACGTGTCGTAAATAAAAGCCGGAGTCACGATAAGAAGTTACCGATAGAAGTCTCGTTATCTACGATTTTAACCGCGAGCAACTAACCACGGTCGGCGACGATCGAGATTGGGCAAACAAAAGAACGGCTGAGAGTGACTAATTTACCCTCGTAGTTTGCGAAGAAAATGGATGTAACAAGAAAGAGGACAGGGTTCTAACGTAATCTTGTATTTCTGACCAGTTTCTTTTCCCGATAAATTTCTTTTGCAGGTCTGGCAAATTCAGAGGAGGGGCAGAACGAAGTAAACTCCCGCGCATGAGAAGGGGAAAAGAGAAAGAAAGAAATGAAAAAAAAAAACAAGAAAAATAATATCAAAGCGTTATAATTAAATATTAACATCTAAAATGTCAAAGCGTGTAAAAATATAAATATTAACTAGGCAGTTTGATCGAATATTACTATGCAAGTTGAGCTCCTAAAAAGTTTCAAAGAGCTCATGATTCAAGGGACCCCAAATGCTCTCAAGCTAAATTCATCATGCAAATCAACAAAACCATATGCTTTAGAGTTTGGACCACAAAATATAGAAGTATGGCAGCGTGCAAGACTCACATGCTACTCTTGTATTTGTGGCAAGTATAGACGGGAAATGATTTTTTTTAAATATATATATAATTTATTTATTGGAATTTGAAAGAATATATACACCATATTTCTTAACAGAAGTTTGAGGGATGACTTCTGGGGATAAACTGACAAATTTGAAGTTTGAAAAATCTTGTAAATATGATAGATTTAAGTGGAATATAGGTCAAATAGACCGTATAATTAAACTATCAATAACAATGATTCTAATTGGTTTTATTTATTTATTTGCATATCATCACGGTTCATTGAACTTTCCTATCACATCATTCATGCAACGCGAAAAATAAAATTTTTTAATAATGTTTTAGGTTATTCCATGCTCGATTTTTTTTTTTTAATTTATGTGACCAGTGAATACGAGTCCAAGCATGAAACAAAGTCATCGTGTGTCAGTTTCTTAAATCAATGCAAAGTCAATGGCTAACACATCTTTCACCCATAATTGATCTCGTTGTTTTAAAACTTGCAACTCAAAATAGATTATTTGGCTGAATAAAACTTGTGTCAATTTAAATGGATAGCAAAAAGTTGTCTACCAAACTTTTTAGCCACTCATATTGCCTAGAGATCCTTGCATGATATGAAAATATTTTTTATATTAATAAATGAGTAGCTAGAAAGTTTGGTGGACATCAACTTAAGTTGATAGGAATCTTACTCTTATTTGGTATTTGGCTCTTTAGAGTTGTTATACGCAATGTAACATTATATCCAGTACAAATACGTGTATTTTTATGGTGGTAGATTTGTCTTCATTGCTTCTTTCCTACTACTCCGTAGATACGTAGGGGGAGCTGTCTATTTGAAGAACTGCTTTGAAAAGCGTGCTGTTGCCGCAGAGAGGGCACTGTCTTTGCGTGGATGGTGCTCTTGAATTCCATTTCTGGGTCTTTTTCCTACTGATTTAGATTCTCTCTGCTGCTCTCTTCTCCTGTTCCCCTTTTAACTACAAACGGGAAGGAAAGGAAAAAAAAAAAAACAAAAAAACAGAGCAGCCTTTTCCGTTTCCTTTTTCCTTCTCTCCCTTTTTTCTTCCTCTCCAAGGTTTCATTTTGAGGACTTGGGTTTGTTTGCAGTCCTCTTCCCCATGTGGGTTCTTGAGTCTTTGAGGTGTCATAAGCTCTCTTGAGAGAAAGAGGGTTGAAAGCGGGGGGAAAAAGAGACGACTTTTGCTCTGTTTCTGCTCTTGTGAGGGTGAGAATTTTGAATTTATTTATTTTAATTATATTCAGGAGTTGTATCTAACTTACGGGTGTGATTTCGATATGTTTTTGGTTATCTGTTTTGTTTTTTTTTTGACATTTTTTCTTTCTTCTAGGTCCTCCTATCAGGCTCTGTTTTTCCAGTCTGAGTAAAAAAATGGGAGAAGAGTTTAGAAAGAAAAGTGAAGTTTGTCCAAAGCTACTTACTCTGATGGCGTCAAAGGAGAGAAATTGGATTGATGCTCAAGAGGAGAAGAAGCTGGAGCTGAAGCTGGGCCCACCAGGAGTTGATGAAGAAGATCCTTCAGTCCTCTCACTGGGTTATTTTCCTAAAGCCTCTAAACCCACTAAAAGAGGATTTTTGGACACAGTTGCAGCCAATACTGAATGTACACTTTCAATCCAGGCAAAATTTTCTGTAATGGGTTTTGTTTTGTAGAGTCTAATGATCTTCTTCTTTGCCATTTTCTTCATTTTTCTTCAGGTTGCCCATCATCACTACATGCTGTTGCCTCTGTTAATGCAGCTAGGCCCAATAGCAAGAGCTCTCAAGCAAGGTGAGATCCCCCCCCCTCCCCTCTTTTGCGCTCTCTCTCTCTCTCTCTCTCGAATATTTCTATTTAAATTGTATACATTTGTTTTTAGATAAATTACAAAAAGTCCCCTCAGGTTTTAAAAGTGATATTTATCCCTTCATTTCAAGTTCTATTCAATAATCATCAATTTTCAATATATTAATCATATATGTGTTTATACGAGAGTGCATATAATTGTCATATCGTGTGATATTAGAGTTTGGGGGGTAAATTGCACATAAATCGCCTCATCTATACATTAGGTTGCAGTAAACCTCCCTCAACTTATTTATTAGCACTAAGCACCCCCTGAAATGCCATTTTGAGAAAGATAAATTGCAAGTCACACCATCTTCCTGGTGATTTTTTTTTGAAGAAATTTTCTAAATAAACTCATTCATATTTTTTTTTCTAAAAACAAATAAAGGGTGTTAAGTGCTAGTAAAAGAGTTTTTTTTTGGGGGGGTTGGGGGTGTTACTGCAACTGAAGGTATTGCTGAGGGGTTATGCGTAATTTGCCCTAGATGTTAATGCTTCAGTGTGATTTTATGTAATTTACCCTTTATTTTTCCAGTGATGCTGGGTTTCTCTCATATTTGTTTTCTGCAACTTGTTGTCTTCTGTGGTGATATTCTTCCCTATTTCCAGCCCATACTTTATATCTCTTAAGTGGTATAGGTTTTTGTTTTGTACAGTTAGCTAGTTGTGGCCTAGGGATGGAATTTGTACTACTAGCAACAACTCCATGGTGTACTTTTTTTTTTTCAATGAATATAAGAGTAGGGCCTTCTCTCTGCGAGTTATTCTCTATCACATGCCTCTTGTCACCTATACTGGAAAAGCCATAATGAGTGTAGCAGTTGTTGGCTCTTTTAATTTATTTGATTCTTTGAATTATCTGCATTTAAATGATACTGAGATCCTTACCCAGTTACCCTTCTCATTGTCTTTTTTATGCATGCTGGATAGTTCCCTGTTGCTTATTGCTATGGCAAATTCGGAACCCTTGTACTGACTTGAGGACTGATTTCTTATTTTGGGCCATTTGAATTGTTTAGCCCTTTGACCATTATTAATCTGGTTGGTTTTTCCCATATCAAAGTTCTAATTCTTTTTTAATTCTGAATAAGATTTTCCTTTCTGTTTGATATACACATGTCAAATCACAGTCTCATTTCAAAGAACACAATTCTAGCTAAAAAAAATTGCAAGGAACATAAGGAATATAATTCAATTTATAATTTTAGTTCCTGTCAAATGATCATCAATTTAATATGGTAACATAAACATATTTATATGAGAGTAAATCACTATAGAAATTGAAACAGAGGGGATCAAACTATCACGTTCAAAATCTCTGGGGTTTTGTGTCAGTCATGAAAACCGCAAGGGATTTTTTTTTTTTGTAATTTATCCAGAAACATATGCAGGGAAATTCAAATTTTTCTTCAAAGTGCAAGTAATAGTATTAGTCATATAGTGTTTACTACTGCTGTTCTTCTTCTTCCCTAGAGGGTGCAGGACTACTTCAGTTCCAGTAGTCGGATGGCCACCTATCCGATCTTTTCGGAAGAATCTTGCCGGTAGCTCTTCGAAACTGACACCAGATGAATCCAAGGATGAAGGCTCTGAGACTGGAAGAAAGCCCGAAACTTGCAAGAAAGGCGTCTTCGTGAAAATTAACATGGATGGGATACCTATTGGAAGAAAAGTGGACCTTGAAGCCTACGATAGTTATGATAAGCTCTCTCCTGCTGTTGAAGAGCTCTTTCGAGGACTTCTTGCAGTTGCAGGTACTTCTCAAAAAGATTGATTGATAAGGAGTATAGACAAGTAGTAAATATTATGGTTTAGGTTCCGCTTCCTAAAATGTTCATACCATTATTCAAAGTTTCCTTTACTAATACTAGATATTTTTACTGGTTTTCTCAGCTCAAAAGGATCTAGCTACTGCCGAGCAGAAAAAAGCATTTACAGGATTATTGGATGGAACTGGTGAATACACTTTAGTTTATGAAGACAATGAAGGAGACAGAATGCTTGTTGGGGATGTACCATGGGAGTATGCTTTCTTCCCTCTCCTAATCTATTATTATTTTTTCTAACAGAACGTAATCTTGCCATTTTTAATTTGTTACAAATCTGACTCATGAAAGCAATCTATAGCTCATATTTGCAACTTTAAGTCGATTGTGTTATTAATTTAGCAAAGACTAGCACAAACTTACTTGCCTTTTAGTTTTTTCAAGAAAGGTGCAACCCCTCTTGACACCCCCTCCTTAAAGTTCCTTGAATTTGATTAGTCGAATTTTACGTCATATCGTATTTTTGGACAAGGAAGCAGACCACAGTGGTGACATTAATGGATGTAAAGTTCGGTAGTAATTCCATTTTTTTATTAGTTGATATGCTGATAATCCCCTTGCTTGAGCAAGTGGAAACTTGAGCGAGCGGTAATCTCATATCTTGAATAAGCTTTGATGTTTTCACTTTGCTTGATTGCTCAACTAACAAGTAATTAAATATCATGGAAACACTAATTAGATCATTGACAGATCTATAACGTTGATGTGATGGATATAATATAGTGTACTTAAAGAGAAGCAATGAAATTGGGCATAAGAAACAAATCTTTGGGTAGAATTCCTAGTAATTGCTTAGTTTCCACTTCATATGAAGAAAAATGTATATGATTAGCAATAGATAGTCCATAAATAGAATTATCGGTATATTATTGTTAGGTGAGTTCCAACTCACAAGCAAAAGAAAGAATTTTTTTTGTCAAAATTTCATACCATTTCCATTTTCTCTTGCAATTGTAGAATGTTTGTTTCAACTGCCAAGAGACTGAGAGTGCTGAAGAGCTCTGAGCTTTCAACACTAGTTGTAAGTTGACTGCATTCTTTAATTCATTTGAATTGTTAACTTATAAGTCTATTATAATATCTACCTACAGAAATTAACCAGTTCATCGTAGTTACCAGTCAATCACAGTCTGAACAGATTTTTTTTTCCCGTTCTTTCTTTGATCTCCAGTTGGGAGCAGTCAGCAGCAAAAGAGCAGCTACTGAGTGCTGAACTAAGTCAAGAAGAAGAACTTTTTCATTTAGGTTATGGTTTTGGCTTTATTTCTACTGAAATTATATTAGCAGCATAGTTAAAACTATATGCAAATGTATACGGAATTCGTGATCTTGTGGTTTTATTGGTGTTGTGTTGGATTCAACTGAAAAGTATTTTCTAACTGTTCTATCATCATGTTTACCGTTAAATTTGGTTTCTAATGTTACAAAAAGTCCGTAAGCAGGCGAATTAGATCTTTTTTGAGAAGCACAAAGATCTCAGCTCTCTCCCTGTTCTTTCCTTCTCAGTTTACTTCTTCTGAAGCAAAGGCTAACATCTTTTCGAACATCTACACCTTTTAGAGCACAAGAATGCATGTTTGGTCAATAATGTGGTTGCTTTAGGAAAGCAAGCTAAAAGATTTCAGGTGATTTAAAAGTGAGTTTTCAACTAGGAAAAAAAAGAAAAAGGCTTATTGTACTCATTAATCTGAGCCTAGCTTGGAGCTAATCTCGCTTCGATGCGTCCGCACGAGAACAACGAGAATGTCCTTTGTTTTTGAGACAAAGCGAAAATCTCTATCAACTGTTGAGCCAGGCCTAACTTCAGAGACAACCGACCACAAAGGAGTTTCGGTAGGGTAAGTAATTAAGAATATTAAATTATTTAGTGCAAGGGGTCGGATTTTAGAACTTGATCATGAGCACGCCAAATTTTGCTTCAAAAAGATGAATGTCACGGTCATTGTGGTCAAATCCAAGCGTGATAAAGAAAAGAAATCACATCACTGTTGAAATATAAAATGCTAGCAGCTAAGGTCGTTATATCTGCTAAGTCAGTGAGATTCATTGTATGATTATAGCTAAGTTAGTGAGATTCATTGTACCTGTGAATAGTTCATTCTCATGATGGCAGAAGATATCATTAGTGGCTTGCACCTTTTTGGCACTACAAGCAGGGACCTTGACTGCTTTTTTTACCTGCAACAAGCTCCACATGAAACACAACGTAACATCATCTGTCTACGTAGCACGTAAAAAATCTTGGCTAACGAAGCAATATATATCCTTGTCATAGGAGGGGATTTCCTCCTATGACGCCTCTAAAATCACATGATTGAGTAATATTGTGGATGATCCGCTCCGTTAAACTTGATCTACATATTCTAAAACCCTAACATACCAAGTTTGGGGTGAACCCGTCGCCGTTTGACCCTTCATCCACTCGTATCAATTTTAACGGTTTTGAATGAATAGAACTTTTCACATGGTTCAATGGAGGGTCAAACGACGACGAATTCACCCCAAACTTGGTGTGTTGGGGTTTTAGAATATGTAGATCAAGTTCAACGGAGCGCATGTACTCATGCAAGTGTAGTCCTCATCAATAGACCGAATATTACCGCTCATGATATTCGTAACTACATCGCGACATGCAGAATGAACCTTAAATATGTATGATATTTTGAAATATCATAATAAATGTGATTTTAATAAGATTTTTATAGTATATTTTAATATAATTATTATTTTTTCTTAAATATTTACGATATATTTAAATATCATAATAAATATGATATTTATAATATTAAATTTTATTCCGGTACTAATTTATTTCATGTAGATGATATTAAAATTGCATATTATCTTATAAACAAGATAACGTTATCTACATATAAAAATGAGAACATTATCTACATAAAATAGGCATTTTTTTAAAAAATGTCTATTTATTTTTGATCCAGATATTCAACTTTTTTAACATATGCAATTATTGTTAAAAAATGTGAGAAAATGTTAAATATAATTTGTAAATATAAGGGTAAGGGTATTTCCAGGTTATTCTGGCTGACGCCGATTCATAATAAAGAAAATACGTGCGTGTGTTAATATGAACCTTCTATCCATTTTTTCCCCTTTCACAGCGCACAACCCTGAGGAATGGAGTTGTACGTTTATGCCAAACTAGTCGTGAACACCGTGCAATCATTTTTTTCTCTTTATAATAATCCCAATTTTTAAATGCTACAGTATTTTTATATTTTTTTATTGCTACAGCTCCTATCTCTGCTGCAGTTTTAAAAATGATACAGTATTCCAGTGTGCTACAGTAACAGTTTTAAATAGTCTGCTGATTTCTGAGCAATGTCATCTACTGAGGAAAAAAAATTGTGAACAATTGTAATTGCAGAATGTATAAAACTAACACTACAGGCACACCCTTTCACCACACCTTAGGGCACACATCTCTCACAGCTACAGACCTACAGTGCACGGGGCCCATTTTAGAGTTTTTTAAAAATCTAAAGTGGGCCACGTGCATTGTAGCTGTGAGAGGGGTGTGCCCCAAGGTGTGCCACTCAATGTATAAATATCGGGGGAGACACTGGAAACAGAATCACATGAGAAGGTACCAGATAAAAGGAGACTAAATAATTTGTAAGACAATAAAAATTCAAGCTCATTTCGCCACCATTTGGATCCATTCGTACATTCCTACTTATGACATCAAAATGGCTCTCTAGACTTTCAAATTTAATAACGGACCTTTTGGAGTATCATTTTTTAATTTACTTGTTGATACATTTAACGACTCTTTTTTTTTACTCGGCCTTTCAAAATAGTGCACTAGGGAATATAAAGGAAACATAATAATAATAACACTCAACAGTCTCATGATCTGCAGCAGCTAGCCTCCTCTTGCCCACCTCGTCTTCTTTCCATCTGATTGCATCTCGTTCGATCTTCAGTCACATGAGGCAGGCTCGGTCGCATCAGGATCAACAAACTGACCACCCCGGGCAGCAACAGAATACGCATTGTTGGATTCAGGCGCATTGGGACTTCCACCATCACTCGCAGCAAATTCAATCATAACAATGGTCGATAATGCTCGATGACTTGCAAGATAAATTGATTGACAGCTGAGACGACGGATCAAGAAAAAGAACGCGAATAGACATGGTCAGGCTCTCAAGGAGTTAATTACTCAAGTTGATAAATAAAAGTTACGTATTTTTGAGGAAGAAACATAGAGATATACCTTTTTCGTATGATCCTCGGTTTACCGATCCAGATATAGCATGCAGCAGCAGCCCTACCAGCTCAATAGAACCTCCATAGTTTCAGGCTGGACCACATTTCCCAAGATGACTCGACAGAGTTGCACACGATATCCTGATCATGTACCCCTCGCCAAGTAGAAGGTTCTAGAGAGTTCTAGAGAAACGTAAAGTCAAGATAAATTCAGATGATCCAACAGTAGTAATTTCATGTGCAGAAAGAAGAACATCATAATACTGGGCGTAGTCCCGAGGGAGCCAAGAATACTCGAGCATCACCTAGAGATTCTGCTATTATCATATCACATTTACTGTATCTCATACAAATCCAACTATTTATTTGATATATGAACGGATAAAATATTATGAATATCAAATTCTTTAAAATCATTCACTGATCATGGTAGTCAAAGATGCCAAATCCTATAAACATTAAAAGGAGCATGACTACATATAATAAATAGCCCATGATAGTATATCTATACATCACCCATGGCCTGCAAACACTCTTGGAAATCATACAAAGAGTCGTATAGCGTAAAAAGGGTGAAAAAAGAAAGAATCTCTGAATGCTTACTCACCGAATGCAGCGCAACATCAGGGAGTCTCAGCCCGTTCGAATCCATACGTCTGAATGCCTTCGAAGCCTGCAGCTTCAGCCCCATACCATCCACACCCAAGGCGGGATGTACGGCTAGTCTTCACGCATCTCATCTCTGTAGAAATGGAAAATTTCTTCAGGTTGCATTGAAACACTTTTGCGACTTCAAATTGGAACGCCATTTTCTGTTTTTTTTTCCCATGGGATATGAGGGAACGGAAGGGCTCAGTTTCTAAGAGAGGTTAGAATTTGGCCATTCTCAGAGGCAAAGAAGCTTGTTATATAAAGATTTGCAAATGGAAATGGTTAGCATAAATCAGAAGTTTCAATGTATCAGGAGAACTGGGCTGACCGGTTAGCATAAATTCATGCATTTGTCTGATGTATTTGAAACATTACTAAATCTGAAATTATTTCGTGAATTGTGGAATAGGCATAACGAACCAAAAACGGATTGTATGAATCTAGCTGGTCCACGATATTTGGTTGATTAGGGGGTTCCTTGCTCAAGTTCCTTCCTAAAATTCAACCAACAAGGGGATTGCTTAGATTTACTTTCCTAATAAAGGTGATCAAGGTAGAAATTGATGCATGAACATTGGTTACAATATGAACGGTTCTCAATAAATCCTTGAAATTACAGCATCAAATGGTTTAGCAAACTGAGGCATGAGCAGGTGGTAAAAACTGTTTTTACACGAATGAAGTATATTACAAACAAGTATTCGAAAATGCCTGTACACAAATAGTCTCATGTTTCTACTTGTCGCAGTGTTACTATCAAATTATCAGGCACGTTTTATGTTAATCTATGATTGTCTAGCAACTCATGTATGTGACGATTAGCAAAAAGAAAGTTCCTCACATATCTATTTACACATGATGGATATTTCACCTCCATTCCCCAATAAAATCATGTAGGCAATGAGTTGATGAGTACATCTGAACACTAATCTTTGACATAGCTGAGGATTGCCATGGATTAAAAAAATGTATAAATAGAAACAAAATTCTGAATTCCACATAGTGGAGAACTATGTTCTTCAATTGCTAAAAGAAAAGCTATAGTTTATGAAATCATGAATTTTAGACTTCGTGAAGATGATTGTCATTCGGTGGAAATGAGTAATAATGGCCATAGTTTATGGGTTATAGCCCATGAAACCGTGAATTTTGAACTCTGTGAAATCTTTTCAACTTGGGTCAAAATGAATAAAAATGGATAAAAATCATGACTTAAAAGCTCATGAAATCGTGAATTTTGAACTCTGAAAATTTTTCCATTGGGTCGAAATGAATGGAGATGGAAAAAAATTAAGGTTACAGCTCATGAAAACATGAATTTTAGACTCTGCTAAATGATTTGTCAATGAGTTGAAATGAATAAATATGACCAAAAGTCATAAGTTTATAGCTTACGGAATCTATAATTTTGACAACCATGAAATAATTTATCCAATTGGTCGAAAGACTAAACATATCCAAAATCATGGGTTATTGCTCTCAAAATTGTGAATTTTGGCAATAGCTAATTTTTTTACCAATTGATCGAAACAGCTGAAAACAGAAAAAAATCGTGGGTTATAGGTCATGATATCGTAAATTTTAGATTTTACAGAACTTTTCCCTTGGATCAAAATAAAAATTGACAAAAATCTTGAATTATAGTTCATGAAAACATGAATTTTGAACTATATAAAATTATTTGCTAGAGGATTGAAATGACTAAAAATGGCTAAAATTGTGGGTTATAACTCACAAAATCGTGAATTTTAATCACCGCAAAATTATTCATCCAATTGGTCAAAACAACTAAAAATGGTCAAAATTCGTGGGTTGTAGCCCTTGAAATTGTGGGTTACTGCTTATGAAATCTTGAATTTTAGACTTTATGAAAATTTTTACGTGAGGTCAAAATTAATGAAAATTGACAAAATCATAAATTATAGCTCATGAAAACAAAAATTTTAAACTCTACGAAATTATTTGTCAATAGGTTGAACTAACTAAAAAAGGTAAACAATTATGGGCTATAGCTAACGAAATCATAAATTTGGGACTCCACAATTTTTTTTAGAAGTGGGTCAAAACGAAAAAAAATGAAAAATTTTATGGGTTATAGTTCGTGAAATAGTAAATTTTGACTCTACAAAATGATTTCAATGGGTCGAAATGACTAAAAATGACCAAAACTCATGCATTATAGCTCTAGAAATCGTAATTTTGGCTGTAGCGGAATTATGTATCCATAGTTCAAAACGACTAAAAATGGTCAAAGATTGTGGGCTGTAGCTCACGAAATTTAGATTTTTGATCATTGTAAAATTACTCATCCCATTGACCGAAATAACTAAAAAAGGCCAAAATTCATGATTTCATGAGCTGCCAAAATTCACGAATTTAGGACTTTGCGAAAAAAATTTCCCTTGTGGAAAAAAG